GAAGAAGAGCATAACACACTTATTATTTAGTGGGTGAATGCGCAATTGCATTCTCCTGCTGCTTCGATATCGGTGCCCAAGCTGTTTCATTTACTAGATTTGGTGGATTTGATGAATTAATTTTATTCAATGATTTAATTTTTTGTTTCAGCCACACTCCATGAAATATAGCGTAAGTGATATGAACATCACTTCAGATCGAACCCAATACCAATGGTTAAGAAGTTGTAGTACTCTTCTTAAAATCCTGGCTGTTCGTGGCAGGATCGCCTTTTGAACCGCTTCATCAATTGGCGTGGTAGGTGCTGATGGTTTCTTGTCATCGCTCCGAAGGCACCGATCACCACAGAGTGCCATTTCCACCTTTACCCTTAAGATCTGGTATAATTCCATCCTCGATTCAGTATTTGTTCTCTATTCTTATATCAATGGTGTATATTAACCCCCCCCTTCCCTTTGTCTTTCAAAACGATGTCTGGATGATAAACTGATATTTCTTTCTCAGTTCATATTGGAAAGTCCTTCAATCGCTTGCTCAGTCTCTTTCACTGCTTTTGGCATATGTTTCCTGCACTGTTTTGCCATTGGTAAGCCTGTATGCTTCTACAAATTCCAATGCACTGTTCTTGCATTGTTGTTGTGCCAGTTCTTGTATTCCCAATTCACAGCCGGAAATCGTATCGGTTACGGGCTCAACCTTCAATTAACATATTCTACACTTTAATTCTGGCTGCGAGGGCGGGATCTTCACTTTGTACGTGTTAGTCTTCTCTGCTTGGTCTTGAGCGGCTATTATAAGGGCTTCTGTTTTGCCACGCAATTTACTTCTTTATCGACAGTTGAAAATCTGCTGCATGTCACTGTCTTCACTCAGTTTGCGAAGATACTTTTCACGAAGTTCTTTTTTCTTTCAGCCATCGTATCGGGCATTTTCTACATTTTCCAGAAGCGCTGTTGATTATTTTAGTATGCACAGACCGCAAACCTTTACTGCCATCAGTATCCTATCGTTCGTTCATTGCCGTAGTCAGATATTGTTTTAGGAATAACCTGTCTACTTTCATGGTATCTTTGATACTGCCAAGTCCTGCTCCTCCTTCTTCGCCTAGTACGCATAGTATTTCCGTATTTGCTTTTGGAAGTATCATCCCTTATATGATCAGTATTTTCTTGTCTTTCTATCCACTTCTGGCTTTCCCAGTCAGGCCCACTCGACGATGCCTTCTGGATAAGCACGCTTTAGTACAGCATAGTGGTTAACGGCAACAATTCTTTTTTCCCGGACAACCAGCTTTACAGGATTTCGATGAATTCTGATTCTCATGTTCAATTTTATAGTTAATTTCATTTTTTCATGAAATACATTATTACGTTTTTGCACGTGGAGACATTTGAATGAGTTTATTTCACCAGTCGATACATCACTGCCAGATGTTCCAGATCCATCCCTCGTAATCTCGGCCATAGCACATTTGTTCAAACTAAATTGTACGCTGATATCCAGAAACCATTTGCGCCATTTTACTAATCTCAGATAAAACTTCATGTGGTCCTTTGTAATAGGTACGATATTACACGGACGTATTTTAACTGATATCCGTTCCTTGCGTTAATCAGAAAATAACTGAGCGGGTTCAACGCCAGGCAAAATAGAAATGGCCAGATTGAATCTCCCTCTAAGATTCATCACTTGACCTTCCGATCCAGATACATAGCAGTGTTTCGTGCCACTA